GCTACGACTTACTAATCTTTAGATTGAGCTTGTAAATGTGAATTCATATGGAATAGCTAGAATTGGGATGTGTTTGTAGCTGAATCATGTCTAATTCTTAGAATTCATGCTTTAGGTGTATTTTGGGTAGTTTTAGGGAGTTCAACATGCTAGTTTTGTTGTGTTGAATATATCTTGCCTCATAGTTTCTCTGGCATGTTTTGGTTTGTTAGGTAACTTGTTATTTTCCTTGGCCTAGGAATAGGATAATGATTATCTTAGACTTGAATTTTGGAGCTGATAGGCCTTAGGGTTTCTCTGATGTCGTTGGGGACATCTTAACTACTTGTAATTGATATAGCAGACTTGGGTCTGATAGCATGATCCTTAAATAGGCGACTACTCAGCTCATATGACTATTCATCCATTTTTTTCCTTCTAATTTGACTTGGGTGGGTTCTTTGGCGATTTCAAATCTTGTAGGTTGTTGTTATATAGGGTCTTGGGGTTTGAAGCTAAAGTGGGTCCTTGGTGGCTCCGAAGATGGTTGAGCTCTATGGTATTTTCCTGGATGAGTAAGGACAGAGGATTTAGAGGAATTTAGAGTTCTTTATCTACGGTTCAAGGTCAGTACTCTTGACAATTATTTGTGGTTCAAGGTTAGTATGCATACCATTATCCTAGGTTCGAGGCTCATGTGTACTTCCTTTAGCCATGGTTTGAGGACCTAGCTTATCACTTAAGATGTTGTTTGAGGCCCAACACATCTCCATCAGCCTTGATTCTAGTCTGGGCATTTAGTCGGGTTCGAGTCCTGAGTTGGTGATTTATTTTGTTCCTTTGGGGTGCCTTTACTGTGGTTCGAGTGTGTGGATGGTTGTTGCAGTTTTGGAATATTGTTTTGCTTAGCTAGTAGTTTCTTAGCTCTTCTGTGTACCTATCGGGCTTATGGGGTGTCCAATTAGGTTATAATTATCTATTATCTTGTTGTTTGTCCTTTCATAGACTTATGTGCTATATAAATAGGTTTTTCCGTTATCATTTGTTCTATGACCTCTACTTGTTGCTACCTTCTTGCTTTTCATTATTATCTTTAATTTTCAAGCAAAGTCGGTCTATGATGCCTACTGTATTTCTTGATGCAGATCTGAGCGCCAGTCATTAGCGTTGAGTTCTGTCATGCTGCGCGATCTTCGGAGACCGAAGGTAAGCTTATGGCATTCCAGTTTTGCCTATCCCCTTATGTATATTGTTTTTGGCTAGTCTTTTGTATACAAGACATGTTTGTATTATTGGTCCACCTTTTGGACTTGTACTCTTTTAGTAGCTTTGTACTTGTGAATACCAGGTCGTGGGATTAGATCTCTTATTTTGAGTTGTATATATTGCTATTGTTCCCTTCTTTTCGTTGTTTTTCTGTTAAATTGTTTCAGATTTATCTTGTTGATTCTACCCATTTCACATGTTTCTTGTAGTTCACGAATTTGGGTTGTCTTACCTACTGGTTGGTTATAGCAAGTGCCATCATGACTTTAAATTTCGGATCGTGATGGGGAAGTAGTCAAAGTAATATGAGAAAGTAGTCAAAGTATTTAGATTTCCATCATTAAATGTATAATAAAATTTAATATATATATATATATAAAGGAAAGTAGTAATTAGATCCTAATAGTGAAGTAGTCAAAGTAATATGAGAAAGTAGTCAAAGTATTTAGATTTCCATGATTAAATATATAACAAAATTTAATATGAGAAAGAAGGAAAGTAGTAATTAGATTTCCATGCCTAAATTTGGAACAAAATTTAATGATGGTAAAATGAATTATGGTAACATAAATGAAGGATAAGAATGAAGATATTGGTATCAAGGATAACTTGTCCTTTGAGGAGATTCCGATTCAGATTCTAGATCGCCAAGTTCGCAAGTTGAGGACTAAGGAGGTAGCATCAATCTAAGTTCTTTGGAGGAACCAATTTGTTGAGGAAGCTACTTGGGAAGCTGAGGAAGGTATGAAGAAGAGATATCCACATCTCTTTGAGACCGGAGAAATTCCAGATCAAGGTACTAATTCTCTTCTTTGTACTCTTTAATTTATAAGTTGGCATGTTGTAATTGCATTGCTTGTTGGGTGTTTGAACTGAATGTTAAATGTTACACCCTTAGCCTATTAAGAGTAATCTCATTCAAGGACGAATGTTCCCAAGGGGGAAATATTATAACACCTCGCTATTTGAAAGAACTAGAAAGAGCTAGAATTAGAAAGAAGTGCTTTTGGAAAGAATGAAAATCTGGAAAATTTGTTAAGTTATGTTAAGTTTGAGCGTTTGCTCAACTTCAAATGACCATAACTCCTAGATCATAATGAGTTAGGTGTTCTTCCAGATATCGTAGGAAAGACCTTGGAATAATGTTTACAACGCCACCAAGTTTACTCAATTCCAAGTTCGTATTAGTGAGATATGCTCATTTGAAGTTGGGTTGTTCAAATAAGGAAAGTCTATTCCTGATTTTAGAAGGGCATTATGGTCTTTTCCATACCTCATGACTTAATTTTGTTTTTTTTTGGTAATTAATTGGGGTCTAAATTGATAGGATTCAGTTTACACTTTTACAATATTGAGTTAGGGTTTTAGAGAAGAGAAAAGAAGAAGAGAAAAGAGGAGAAGAAGCAAGAAGCGTCAAATTCTCGAAGCTAGGATCGTGGATTTCGTCAAGGGGTGATCCCTATGAGGTATGTGAGATCACATAGCGTTGGGTCAGTTCACCCACGCGTCAATCATGATTCAATTCAGCGAAGTTATATAGTTTTGAAAGCAAATCCTATGAGTTCTTGATGTTAATTCGTTTGAAATCTTGTGGGTTCTTGTTGTTGAAGTTTCTTGAGATTGATTCATGTAATTAGGTTTTATTTAGAGTTGTATCTTGCATATATTGATGATTTAGTTGTTCCTAAGTGTCTGAGGAAAGAACCAAGTTGATTTAGGGTGTTTAGAGTTGAAAAACGAGCAAGAAAAGTTGGAGTGCACCTAGGCAGGGGCCTGGGGCGCCGCCCCTCTCAGAGCCCCAAGAAGGGACCTCTGAAGTTTGGGTCTTGGGGGGATGCGCCAGCCAGAGCGCCCCACCCTTTCTTCTGAAGTTTGCCCTCTGGCGCCCCACGTCGCTCAGAGCGCCAGGGACACCAGTTCTTCCCATTCCTCCCCCATTTTTCCGTACTAGTTCCTTAGCAACGTACCTATGTTTTATAGTTGATTCCAACACTCTAAGGTACATTTAAACAACATGAAATCATCCATAGCATGAGATCATGAGCCTTGAATCCATAATTCAATTCAAGGAAAGTTAAGATCAAAGTCAAGAGAAGTAAGAGTAAAGTCAAGAAAACTTCTTAGAGTTTTCCAAAAGTCTCCAAATGTTTTAACTTTGTTTTAAGACTTAAAGTTCAAGTTGAGTAAAGAATAAAGAGTAAAGATTGAAGTTCATTTCTTTAAAGGTATATGGGACTATGTATTCCTAAAGAGTTTAAAATGTTTTCACCATTTAAACAAGTAAGAAAACCTTGATTCCAAAGAGCCTTTGAGCTAGTTTTTAGAAAAGAGTAAACTCTTTCACAATTAAGAAAGAGAGGAAACTTGATTTCTAAGCACCGAAAGAAGTATGTTTTTAAACATAAGAGCTAGTATCATATTTTGGGAGTAGTATTGAGCACCGATATGGGGAAGAGTTCAGACAACTCACAGCCCTCATAAACCATATAGCCATCATGGTTAGAAAATGGTCATACTTTTTAGATGATTCCTTAGTGCTTTTTAGCATAGACTAGTGGATCCACTTAGTAGTCAGGTTTTATACCTTCGGCAAGGTATAGGACGGCCCTAGCAGCGTGAGGCAAAATGTTGTATCATCACAATAGCTCTTACGTGATGGTTGTCGGTTAGAGAAACTCCTCTAGAAGTATTTGCATTCTTATATACACAGTTTAATTGTATTTTTACATACATTTCAGAGTTATATTGTATCTTTGCATACACACAGAGTATAATTGTATTTCCAAATCACGGAGTTGACATCCATGTTTTAAAAAGCTTTTCTTTATATTGCAATTGTTTTATACTTCTTTACATTGAAATGAGTTCAGTTAAATTGAGTTGAGTTGATCCAGGTAAGTTCTTCAGTTCCTTTCAAGCTTATGTCTTGTTTTAGAATTCCCCTCACATACTCGTACATTCAATGTACTGATGACATTTGGCCTGCATCTTTTAATGATGCAGATACAGGTGACCAGGATCAGCATCGAGTGCATCGTTGATTCTAGTTGAGCTCCAGACTTGTTGGTGAGCCTCCTTGCTTTCGGAGGATCCCTTTTATTGTTTTTAGTAATTTTAGTTTCATTAGGATGTCGTGGGTCTTGTCTCGACATCCATCTCAATTGTTTAGAGGCTTCATAGGCAGTCAGATGTTAGTTCTTGAGTTTTCTATTTCCTGTTTTAACGGTTGAGACTTGAGTTGCCATTTTGGCTAAGTTTAATATTTCTTAAAGACATTTGCATGAGTTATCCTTTGAGATTATATCTTGTGTTTAAGACTTCCGCTGAGTAAGTAAGCCAGGCCAAGGGTTCACTTGGGGAAAGCAATGGTTCTCGAATGCCAGTCCCGCCCAGGGCGTAGGCTTGGGGCATGACATTTAATATGAAAAAAAGAGTAGTAATTAGATCCTGACAGTGAAGTAGTCAAAGTATTTAGATTTCCATGATTAAATATATAACAAAATTTATTATGTGAAAGAAGGAAAGTAGTAATTAGATTTCAATGCCTAAATTTGGAACAAAATTTAATGATGGTAAAATGAATTATGGTAACAGAAATGAAGGATAAGAATGAGGGAGTTTCTCCTTTGTCTATTTAAAGAAACAAATTGCTTTTGTTGAAATCTAAAAATGGATGAATGTGTGGCTATTTTTCTGGAAGATGTAGTGAAGGAGATTTTGTTAAGGTGTCCTGTTAAGTCATTGTTGCGATTCAAATGTATCCACAAGAATTGGCATGGTACGATCTTATCAAAACCCCTGAATTTGTTCAACAACACTTGAACTATAGCAAGAATAATCCCCCACAACTCCTACTTTATAATTCTGGTAACCTTCTTGATGATCATGACTCCCGTTCCATAACTTTACTTTCTGAAGATATTCCCCAAACTATCAAAGGTATGACGTACCTTTTAGGTTCTATGGACGACTTGTTTTTTATGACTGGGGTAATTGATCATATGCGTTCGTGTGCATTATGGAATCCTATTACTAGGGAGTTGAGACCCCTCCATCTCCCTCCACCCATAATCAATCATTACCCTGTGTTTGGGTTGGGATTGGACCCCTTGACTAATGACTATAAAGTGGTTTTCTATTTGCGTAAAAATGCAGCAACGATCTATTCCTGTTCTAGGGACTCATGGAGAATTTTCAAACCCAAAAAACCACTACCTTTATTTATAGACGTGAAACATACATTTGGTACTGCTTATTTGAATGGAGCTTATTACTGGTTGCTAAATGGAGGCAGCCATACTGACTACTCCATTCTTTCATTCGACTTTGGGAGTGAAATATTTGAAGAGATTGAAGGGCCTGATTGTCACTGTGTTCATAGTTCTATGTTGGGTATGATGTTGCTTGATGATTCCATTGCCATGTTGAACTCGAACATAGATGAAAGATTTGCTTATGATATATGGGTAATGATCCAACCAGCGATCTGGAACAAACTTGTTACCTTTCAATGCTTCCCTAAAATTAAGTCGTGTTATGATAGCTCTCTCATTTTGGCAACTAAAGCTTCTCGACTGGTCTCCTATAATGTTTTGACTAACAAGACAAGGCATCATGGATTTCAACGTTCCTGCTTGACAAAACATCCACTTTAGGGTGGTTGTGAGGTTTTTTATTATAAGGAGAGCTTAGTGACAATTAAACAACAAGAGGATGGAGAGTTAGACCATTGAACGAGTGCATCAGATCAGATGATATGCGACCCAATCATTTAATTGTAATTGAGATGATAAGCATGTTCACTCTATTGCATAGTTCTATTTTATGCATAAAGTTCTTGTAATTGGGTCTTATCTATAGCACATTTTCTAATTTAGCCTACTTGTTCTGTTTTCCGTTATTGGATCTTCGGATCTGTAAATTTGATGCTTGTTATAAATTAAAGGTGTGAGTTATATAAATTTGATTGCTGCATGTGGGGATGACAATGGAGCGGTGCGGGGCAAGGCGGGTTGAGCTTAACCCGTAAAATTTTTAATCTGCCCCGCATAACATTTTTGTTCATTTTCAACCTGCCCCGCATAGACCCGCTCCGCATGAACCCGCCCCACATAATTTTTTAATATTTTCTTTTTCTAGTTAAGTTTGATGCAAAAAATAAAATTTATAAAAATAAATTCATTGTTTCATTAAGTTGTATTAATTTAATAGGATAGTGACTTAAAATTTTATTTTGTAGAGGTCAATTGGGAAACATGTAAAAATTGTATTATTTTTTATTGAACCATTTTCATTTTTTACTATCCTGAATATTTTAGTGGCTTTACAGAAATTATCTTAATAAATAATGTTCTATCAATCTTATATCATGTAAAAATTAAAATTAAGTTTAAACCCACATAAACAACATATACCCGCAATCCGCCCCGCTCTGCATTAGTTTTAAAAATCCCCCCACTTCAACCCCCTACAACACACCCATCCCGCACAACCTTAAACCCGCCCCGCATAGCCTTAAACCTGCCCCACCCTTTATCTGCCCCGCCCCATTGCCATCTCTAGTTGCAGGATGTATTGCTTTGTAGAATCTCGTCTACCAAGGTGATAATATGTCAAGGAACTTAACAGGTCTTCTAGATGATATTTTCAATAACAAGGAGTCTGTTTCAAAATATAATTGTTGAAAAACATCTAGCCATATTAGTTTTTATGGTACTATCGAACTGATGATCTTTGTTCTTCAATGTTATTCTAATCTATAAATGAGATTCAATAAATTCATACTACAACAAAGTGTACACTTCTAATAACGTATCTTCTTTAGTTTGCAAGAACTTAATTATTTGTCCAGTTATTATAAATATGCGTCCCAAATTGTGTTGTCTTTCTCATACTCCCTCTGTCCCAAGTTATATATCATATCATATTGTATTATTATTATCATCATATATATATATATATATATATATTATTATTATTATTATTAAAAGTGGGAAGATTCTAACCTCAAAGTTAGATAACTGTTTTACCCTACATTAAATTAAAATATTATAAAATATTAAATTAAATGTTTAATACTTCATTGTTTTGAAAATGTTTTCATCTTCCATCAATATTCATATAACTGTCAAATTGATTAGTACATAAATAATAGGGAAAAGGGTCTGAAAAATATTCTAACTTTGGCTGAAATTACTGTTACGATACCAAACTTTATGGAGGATCTTTTACTTCCCTGCACTATTTAATAGTGTATTTTAAAGGTATATATGTGCACACGTGGACACATTACTATTTAAAATGATGCAATATTTATGATGTCCACGTAGGCACATATATACCTTTAAAATACAGTATTAAATAGTACATGGGGTAAAATGTCCTTTCCAAAGTTTGGTATCGTAACAGCAATTTCGATCAAAGTTAAAGTATTTTTCAAACCTTTTTCCCTAAATAATACTTTATTCATTAGTCTTTTACATTTCAAATCTTTTCATTTTCCAGCTGACAGTCTTAAGTTTCCAACAGTACTAGAACTAATATACTGTGTTTTTTTCACGTGATCTTTTGTGCCTCCTACGAGTATCAATATATATATATATATATATATATATATATATATATATATATATATATATTAATGAATCATTAATTCATAAGTTGGTGCACTAAGTCAAATATTGCATCATTTTCACCCCTTCACTTTAGCCGTCTAGGTTCTAAGTGTGCCTTCAGTTACTAGAAATGATAGTCATGAATATTATATACAGTAAAATCTCACTAAATTAATATTCAGTTAATTACTAATCTCTCTAAGATAATAAATTTCTCCGGTCCTGACTTGGGCCAATGAAAAAAATCACTCATTTCGATAGAACCCTAAACATATTTCTAATTTACTGACTAAATTTAGATGTAGAGCGTGAGGATGAACTTAGTACAACACTATGAGTAGCCTTACATACCTGGAAGAACAAGGTTCTTCAAGAAGATTTAAGCGAACTTGCTTGGAAGCCTTGAAACCCTAGCTTTTCTGTTTTTTGAAGTTATTGAGTTTAATTTTTTTGAGAATGAGAGAGTTGAAATAATGAAAATTGATTGGCTTTGGCTTTGGCTTTGGGAAGAAATTAATATTTGTGGGTTGGGGCTTTGGGATCAGGAAAGAAGAATTTAGCAGAAGTAAGAGTCGTAGCTACGTGACCGCGCACTTCAGGAAACCATTTATGTTCTACGTGACCGCACACGTTACTAAGAGAATTATGAAGTAACGTGTGTGGTCACGTAGCAGAAGCTTAGTTCACGCGGCACTTCACGCTACCTTAATAGTAACACTGACCTTGCTGCACGACACACTTCCACTTTGTGCTGGTTCGCGTAGATTACGTATTGCCCAGAAAAATAGGCATAATTTTTAGGAAATAACTTGGATTGATGTTGTAACATCCCGTATCCGAAAATAGACCAGATTGCAGATTTTTGGTGTTGTAGGTGGCATTCACGGGCACCATCCACGGACAGTATGAGGACCCACGGTCTGTCCTGCAGGTCTGTGGTTCGTGTCAGCAAACTCCCCTAGAACTCAGCCAGAAATTTAGCCAAGTGTTGACCCACGGCTGGACCTACAGTCTGTAGGTCAGGTCACAGACCGTGGTTCATGTCTGTGGATCGATGCCCTTAAAGCCCAGCTTCAATCTCGATTGACGGTTGACCAGCACGGACCATCATTCTACGTACGGTCCGTAGGTCTGACCGTAGGTTAGATGAAAATTGTGATTGGGTCAACTTCAAATAGTCATAACTCTTAGCACAAAAGTAAGTGTGTGTCCCATGACCTATGATATGATAAATAATTGAACCCTCTTTCCAACGCCAACGAGTTTGCTAAAATCCAACCTACGAATAAAAAGTTATGCTCGTTTTAGTGAAGTCCTGTCGGGCAGACTTGACCGACGACTCCAATCGACGGACCATCGATTGACCTAAGGCTCGTAGGTCCAGTCCATCGGCCACTCCGACAGCAATTAAGTTAGGGGTCTTTTGGTATTTTCCTATTTCGTTTAACCCCTAAGGTACGTTGTTTAGACCCTAAATCATGAGGTTTTAGTCAGTTTAAGCCTAGAAACATAACTAGAACTTTTCCAAGTCAAATCATTAATCAAAACTTTGAAAATTAGAAGCAAGAGAGGAGAAAAAGGTCAAGAACCCTAGTTCAAGAACGCAACAAGTTTTCTTCAGTTCCAACCCAGAAATCAAAGGATTTCTCCATGAAATTCTTCACCAGGTATGTGGGATTTCACTAGTTGGTTCCTTTTGCCCATTAGGTCCCTAGAATTCAGTCAGATTCTTGATTCCATGATTATGAACAGACCTAGGGTTTCTAGAACTTCAACAAATCATCATGAATTAGTTATTTAAATGTTCCAAATCAGATTATCTTTCTATTGCTCAGTTTATTGCATGAATTCCAAAACCCTAACTATCTATTTCTTTAGTTCTTGAATTACACATGCTAGGTCAGATATTTCAGTTATTCAGATATACATGCTCCAGTTTTGAATGCCACATTATCAGTATATTTCAACATAAACCCTATTTTGAGTTATAAATCTTGAGAAGCTTTTTTTAAGACAACACTTGAGTTTTAAATTGTGTTTTTGAGAAAGTTAAGATGAGTTTTGAGAAAGAGCTTCTAAAACATGATTAGTATGACAATCGAGTAGGTCATCAATGTATGAACAGTATGGTATCTAGATATACCATCAATGTTTATGCAGTATGAATTCCCAAGTCATCAATGATCATAGTATAATATGATTTTGAATTGTTTTCTAAGAAGGAGTTTTCAAGTATGAGTATCTACATGTCAGTATTTTGAGTTATTCAGCATTTCAGTCATAATGTATTCAGTTATACATGCCTCAGTTTATGAATGCATCATTATCAGATTAATTGTTGCATTCTCAGTTTGCATGTTCAATTTTGAGTTATCCAATATTTACAGAAATTCAGTCATAACCAGTTAACCACTAAATTCATTGAGAGTAGTATAATACTAGGGTTCAACGTACCCATATAGTCCCAGAACTATGAGCCACGTAGGTATAAGTCCCCTCTGTGGGCAATATCAGTTAGTGATCACGCCAGTCATGCCTCTATACCTTTGGCTGGGTATATTGGGTCCTCTCAATGGGGCGTATACATCGGACTCCACATTTAGCTCATGTAGTTTTATTGTCGGTTATTAGTAGCTCCCACAGTTCAGTCAGACTTTATTGCATTGACCACATTTACAGTTCATTCAGTATTCAGTCAGCATGTTATAAATTGGTCACTGCATTCAGTATTTATATCATGTTCAGATTATGTCATTGCTTATTTTCTTTGTTCAGTTATGATGTTATTTCAGCTTTACTCTATCCTGCATGCTCAGTACCTTTCAAGTACTGACGCATAAGTGTGCTACATATTCTCATGATGTAGGTTCAGGTTATCAGCATCTAGATCACGCTTAGATCGATTCCCGATCTTCAGTTCAGCTGCATCAGTGGTGAGTCCTCATTCTTCGAGGACTAGTGACATGTTTATCTTTATCGCTTTCAGTCTTTTAGTTTCAGTTTTGCTAGATCTAGTTGAGGCATGTCCCAACATTTTTAGT